ACAATAATTTTTCTTCTTATTTTACGAACTTTATTTCTTATAATAAGAAATAAATCTTCTTCAGGGAAGCTATCTCTTGCAGAATCAACTGTTACAGGAAATTTACATTTACATGCTACCTCACTAAAAATCTGAATTGAATAGAAAAAAAAGGAAGTGTAAGGGATATTTTATCAGGATAAATATATTACATATATCAAACAGGATAAATATATTACATATAAAAACTATTACATATATTTTTTGCAAAAATGGTAAGATATGAATTGCAAAAGAAATAAAAATAAACCTTACCACTGCCACATCAGAGAAACATGGATATTTTTCCAAAACTGATACAATTCTATCAACTCGATTAACTGGACCTTGGTTTACACAGGTTCGTCTTTGTATAAATGTCGCATTCAGTCATGACGCAACTAAAACGCAAAGCAATTTTTTCTAATTCAAAATTTCACTCGTTTACATATTTATATAATTTCACCTTTAGTTTTGGCTTTACCATCTAAAATACAAAATTGATATTTTCTTATATTGAGTAGAAAATGTTTTAAACCAAACAAAGAATATTAAATAAATTTTGTTTAAAATTGTGAAAAAAAAACTACTATATGAAACGTTTATAAATCTTTTATAAAATAGTGTACTATGTATATATTATAAATAGTAGACAATTAAGTAGACTTCTAAGAGATTTTTAATACTTTTAATACTGGTCATAAAAATAAAAATACTACTTAAAAATTTTCTGCAAAATTTTCTTTAATTATTTAAAAATTACAAAACAAAAAAATTTCCATCGGCACGAATTATCAGTTGGAATTTTTGATTCTTCACAATCCACAAAGTTTAAAAAACTGACCATACTTCTGATAATAGAACGTTGTTTGATCTAAAAGTTCATAATCAGTTCGTTCTTACCATCTTGTGTTACATAACCAGCAATGTGAATAAGTGATATTTTGACATCATTAGCACTAGAAGATTCCAGATCTTGCAAGTTATCAAGAATTTCGCAGCAGTCTTCAGACAATTTGTATTGGCATAATGCTTATTGATGATCAGACTTTACATTAAAATTGTCAGTATCTACAATTTCAAAACTAAAGTTGCATATTTGATATGCAATTTTTCAATAACTTGTTAAACACTGAGAAAATATAGTATACTATATTCTTTTTCCAGATGATCTGATGTAAATTGACCGTGAAGTACATAATTTTGCGTAGTGTTAAGTAAATATCTACATAAATCTACTAGTCCATAACAAGTTTGATGTATACAAGTTGCAGCATCTTTAGAAAGCTATTTAAAACGTTTATCTTTAGGACCTGCCATTTTAAGTGCCATATTACCAAATTGTAGTATTAAATTTGAACGGTTGTCATCAGGATTATTGGTAACAGCCTGCAAAGGATCATAATGCTTTGTATCAGCACCAACGGCTTTGACATTTAAAATTTTCCAATAGATAATAACTTTAATGATAAATATAGCTATGTTGTTAACATCACTATGAATCATGTCAGTATGTTGCGAAAAAGTAGCATAAGTTTTTTCAGAAAATGCTCCTAAAACCGTCAATATACACGGTTATTCAACAGGTTTAGGAGAAATAGAAGTTTCATTCAGGTCAGATAACTTTAGAAAGCTTCTAAATTCTGCATTGTAAAGCTGCTTTAAATGAGTCTATTTTGCAATCTTGGTTACTCCGTTATCGCCGAATAATAATTTCTGAGTTTTTTCAGTTAACCAAAGATTATAAATATTTTTAATGAGGTGTAGAAAATCATAAAGTAAATACTTTCCATCTACTATTAATTCATTCCCGGAATGAATGTGCACATTTAAAAAAAAGCCTGATTGACATCATCACGATGATGTCAAAGGGAACGATTAATTAGCTCGAGATGTTAATTAGTTCGAGATAAATTAGTTCGAGAATGTTCGAGTTATCGAGAGTATAATACATAAATAAGGGTTCGACTGGATTCAAAAAAGTTCGAGATATCAAGTATTCAAGGTATCGAGAGTTGACTGTAAGTGATATTTTCGTGCAACGACAAAAATTGAAGCCTTTTGTTAACGAGAACTATAATTATTTTTTAAACGAAAATATCAACTCTAAACAGTATTTTTAATTTTAGTTCAATCCCCTAGACTTTTTAAGGGTCAATATTAGGTCTTGGTGGTGAGGTTGTTTTGTAAAATTAGCTTCTGCCTAATTTTATTTATAAGCTAATAAAAAATAATTAATATTTTAGGTTTATACTTGATCTAAAAACTAATAAAATAATAAAAGACATTTTACCGGGGAAAAAAAGGCATATAAAAGTCCATAAAAAACCTCACTTTAAAAAGAAAGTCTATAACTATTATATTTAAATTAGAAATACAACTTTAATTGCATAAAAAATTAGTTTTTTTTGTAATATATCTTAAAAATTTTAATCCTTTCTCTAAGAATAAAAAAGTTATATAGGTTTAAAAGTTTAAAAATAAGTTATCGCAAAATAAAAAAATATGACCCTGCCGTTTCTTCCCGTGGAGTCTTCATATATATATATATATACACACACACACACACACACACACACACACACACACACACACACACACACACACACACACACACACACACACACACACACACACACACACGCACACACACACACACACACACATATATATATATATATATATATATATATATATATATATATATATATATATATATATATATATATATATATATATATATATATATATATATATATATATATATATATTTTTTTTTTTTTTTTTCACTTTGATAGTTGGTGTGACAAGCATACACATTTATTTGGCATGATGATTTAATCTAGATTTTATAAATATATTATTCGCTTTAAATTAAATCTGAAATTCCATGTTTAAATTATATAAGTTTATTAGCATGATATTATATTCCATTATTTACTTATATATCATGAACGACATGGCATTTATAAATACCTGTATAACTATATTATCTTTTACTTAGTACTTATTGTATGATTTTGTTATTTAAATGGTAACGATTTTATTGTACAACGATTTACTAAAATGTTTAAGAAAAGAATAAAAAAAAGCACAAAATGAAAAAAAAAAAATTTATCTGCTCTAAACGTGGATCTTTTTTGCCGTAAAAAAGTAGGCCTGCACAAAAAAATCCGGTTCCATGATGAATAGGCCTGTAGTAGAGAACGCTATGGACACAGTAGTTATAGAGATGCACGTATTACATTTAAGGTTCAATGGAGTTACAACTATCCCTTAGAGTGGCTCTATGTATCCCAAAAGAGAGCCTCCAGGATATCTGAGCATTCATCCTCCAAATGTTGTCTATGCAAAACATATCTATATTTTGGTATTGTGGTTTATCCTCCTCCGGCTAGTTGCCATACAGAGGCCACATTACTAAGATTGTAAGAGTGAAAGATAGAAGTAGTCGAGTTAGAAAGATAACATAGAGAAAGCGGACAGGATTGCACACGATGTTAAGGTGAGTTTCCACTCATCCGGTTTTTTCACGGGAACGGGAAAGGGACGGGAAAAATAATCACGTAGGCATGCGTAGTATAAGTTTTAATATGTCTGATGGAAAACTACGCATGCTCACGTGATTATTTTTTCCTTTCCTATCCCGTTCCCGTGAAAAAACGGATGAGTGGAAACTTACCTTAACATCGTGTGCAATCCTGTCCACCTTTAGAAGGTGCAATACGTTACTATACACATAACTGGCTTAAGCCAATTATTGTGGGTCTTAATTCAAACCTTTTTTTAATTAAGTTTAATTAAGGATTTTTTAATTAGGTTTAATTAAGGAAGCATACCTATAACTTGTAATTACTTTTTTTAATCAAGAAAACATACCTATATTTTGGTATTGTGGTTTATCCTCCTCCGGCTAATTGCCATATTATGCCAATACCTATATTTTGCAGTCTTTGTAAAAAACGTCACAGAAAGTAAGTCGCCGTATAATCTGGGTCATTAAAGTTGATTAAAACTCAATTGTGGGTTCAGTTTAGCAGTTTTAAATTTTGTTAAAAAATTGTCAAGCCGTGACATAAAAAGATTCTAAAAATAACTTGAGCTAAACATTTAGTGTTTTTTTAGATGTACTAGATAGAGTTCTCATTGCACTGGAATTTTGAGATCCTAAGTTTTACTGATTTTTTTTATAGGTTCAATTGAACTTGGGCGATTAAAAATAAACTATCGCAAAAACGCCTATTTTTACCTACTGTTTCAGCCTATATTATTTTTTACGATAGCGGCCTAAGTGCTATCCTAAGTGCTTTGCCTAAAACTTTTTTCTTCATAAAACGTTAAAAATATGTAATTATAAACAAGCAAAATATCAGGTTGCGCAAATGATTTATGAGCATTATTTGTTGCTTAATTTAATTTGGTTTTGTTATCACACGACTTCGCAATGAAATTTTAAAATTGTAAATGACTGCTGTTAAATTAGCTATTAAAAAATAATTCTTCAAATGCGTTAACACAGAGTAAAGTTAAAACTAAGACAAGGTTTACACGTGTGAAATTTTTTTCTTTTAAATGAAACAATTATAAAAAAGTAGGTTGAAATGAACATTTAAAACAATATAAACAAAAAATCTGAATTCTAAGAAACCAATCAAATAAAGACGAAGTTAAAAGGTAATAAAATAACAATCGAAGAATATTAAATTGCGCAAAAATTGAAATATTTTTTTGAATAGTTTAAAACTCTTATCAATATCATTGGATTAAAACAGATAAAAGTTGATTTTTTATAATCTTTTTGAGAGAAAATGTATAACCAAGTCATACAGATCCATTTTTTTAAAAACTTCTTATAGAATAAAAAAAAAAAATTCCATTTAAAAGTATTACGATAAAATATCGATGAAGTTTTTTAAGCCAATAATCAAAAATTTCAGGCCATGTTGAAGCCATCAGTTTGACCGAATAAAAAACAACTCAAATTAAATTGCCTTCTAATAATATCTAATCTCGGAATAAAAACACATCACGCATTTGCTTGCAAGAACAAATAAAACGTTTTTAGCCAAAAATCTACTTACAAATGTATAACCATTGTAATAATTTCATAAAAAAAATTTAGTGAATTTTTGCCAGTCATCTTTGTTGGTAATAATCCTCATAATTTCTTCATCGCATTTGTATAATGATCGATTCAATTTATTTTAGTCTACGAGCATCAATAAATATCGCTTAGACAACTTTGAAATATGATAATATATCGCAAACATTGGAATATTTAAGTTGGATATTTAATGCCATCAAAAGATCACCATTTAACGCTAAAGAAAAACCAACATATATATATATATATATATATATATATATATATATATATATATATATATATATATATATATATATATATATATATATATATATATATATATATATATATATATATATAATTTTGTAATGAAACAAATGAAATAAATGGTTCTTTACAAAATTATATATATATATATATATATATATATATATATATATATATATATATATATATATATATATATATATATATATATATATATATATATATATATATATATATATATATATATATATATATATATAAATATAATTTTGTAAAGAACCATTTATTTCATTTAGACGAAAATGTGAAAACAAATCAAAAAAGAAATTGTATAAATATAATTAACTACCCGTCCAAAAAAACTTCCAATTAATCCACTTCCACTAATTTTTTTCTGCTGTTTATGAGCGTTGTTAAACTCCTCTTGTTGTTTTAGAAGAATTTCTTGGTTTCGTCGAAAAGCTGCAACTACATCATCTTCATTGCGATAAAAATCAAGTACAGGTCTGACATCGTCCACATTTGACATAGCAATAGCTAAGAATGAATTGATTTTTTAAATTTGATAAAACAAGTAGAGCGTAATGGTTTGATAAAAAATCTTACTATGAAGCAAAGGAATCAATTCCAATAATGTTGTATCTTTAGGATCTCCTTCCCATTTCTTCAGTATTAAAGAGTTTCTTGGCTGTAAACTACTTGCATTTGGGTCACAATCGATTAAAATTACTTTTGTAATGTCACGATTAAGTTTGGAAAGATCCTAAATTCAAACATATAAAAAAAAAATATTCGCAAATACATACATTGTTGGCCAAATTAATTGAAGTCGCATACAGTCACTTTGTTTTTGCACATTTGTTAATAAATTAAAAATAATCCGCAAAAAGCGTGCTAAATAATCCGCGCCAGGTAGACCTACAAAAAACTCCACATACTAAGTTGTTCTACAAAAAGAACATTTACTAAAAAGTGGAACTAATTTTTAGATAACCTACTGAGGCCTAAATTGTTTTCAACCGATTATAGTCTTTTTTATTTTCAACCGATTTATTTTTCGACTTAATTTATATTTTCAATCGATTTAAAATAAATTATATTTCAACCGATTATCTGGTCAATGTTTTCAACGTTGTTTTTTTTAAACTACGATTTTTTTTTTAAATTAAGTTTTCCAAGCATTTATTGAACCTTATACCTCCCGATTCTAAAGACAGCGCTTCAACCACTGCGCCAAGGAACAAATTTGACTCGTATCAAAATCAATACCAAAAATCAACAACAAAATATATAAAATACTATTTTACCGTATGCGTAGTTATAAAACTGAAAATACAGTAGGTTGAATATTCAGTAGGTCAAAGTAGGTTGGAAAATTAGTAGCACATGTTTTTATTAGGTGTAAATATAAAAACCAAAAATTGTCGGTTGAAAATCAAAAACATCATACAATTTACGAAATTTCAATATTAGAGTTATTGGCCACCAAATAATCTTTGATCCAGTTCGTTACTATGACGTCATGATTAAAGACTAGTACAAGACTAGTACAGACTGTTTTGGAGAAGCGTCTTGCTCCACAGTTAAAGGAGTGGGCTGCAAAGAAGAAATTGCAGAGTGTTGGATTTAATTTTTATGCATGATGGAGCACCTTGCATAAGGGGTGTAAAGTTGCCCAGTATCTGACTTCTAAGGGTATTGACGTTTTACCGAGGCCGGGCAATAGCCCAAACATAAATCCTCTCAAAAATCGATTTTTAAAGCTGACATGAGAAAGAAAAAGATCACAAAAAAACAACAGTTGATAGAAGAGATTACTAACTCATGGACAAGAAAAGTTGAATTGACTGGCATCTACACATCTCTGGTTCACTTTATGCCAGAAATAATACAAACACTTCTGAAGATTAAAGGTTCCTTCACCAAATACTAGATAATCTCTGTACTGAACTTTATATGAACAACCTTTTTGATTGCAATTTTAAGTAATTTTGGGAGTGAATAAGAATGATTTGTCAAAAATTTGCTTATTTGTGACTGATTTTTATTAATTTGGTCAACACTGTATTTAATAATAAAAGATAAAATATACCATTAGAAATAAATAAAATGCTTTAAATGAAGTAAAATAATATTAAGAAAACATACTTTTACATGAGTACCATTAATATAACTTGTTGCATCGCGAAACAACTTGTACATAATGTATCCATCTGGATCTAAACCCTCACAAACTGGTGCAGAGCTCTAAAAAAAAAAAAAAAGTTTTTTTCTTACACAAACGTTTCCTATCATATCATTAGTAATAAATTTATTATAAAATGATTCTTTATAAACTTTAAAAACTGTTTGAGGAAAACTCTTTAGAAAAAAAATCTTATCAAAAAAAAAAAAAAATTTAAAATAATACAACAATTTTATAAACAAAAAAAACTTTTATGCAATTTAAATTCTTGAAAAGCTAATGTATAAATAAGTATAATATTTAGACAAACGTAATTACAACTATTAATCCTATAATATTTTAAGAGTCATTTTTTGTAAGTATCAAGCAGTCAGTGGAAGTTACCCCTTCCAAATTGCTTGAATTTTTAATATATTCATTATTATTAACATCACTGAATAAAGTTCGTAACTCATTTGTTCATAAGATGAAAATTACTTCACTAAATATGCTGATTTCTTCATTCTCTAACAATATTTCTGTAAAAGACAAACCACATTGCATGAACATTTTTGTATGGCAAGGTTTTGGGCATTTTTATTTTAATTGGGCATTACTAGTTCGAAGTTCATTTAGATTTTTAAATCAACAGAAAGCACTGTTGTATAAATACTTTATTTGTGGAGAAGAATCAGGTAATAAAATGAGCCCTGAGCAGGTTCACATGCAGCTGAGAAGGGAACTTCCACCTGATCAATATGTAAATAGCCAATAGATAAGATCTTTATTTTCAAGGTAGGCATTGTTGCTGTTAAAACTTTTACAGATTAGATTATGTTTCTGAATGTTAAATAGTTCTTTTGTAAATATGAAATTAAAATTTCGGTAAAAACTGTAATTTTGTGTATTTGTTTACATATGTTTAAAAAGATATACAATTGATATTGCTGCATATTGTAGATTTAGTAACCTGAAAAGAAAAGGCATCCTGGTAGAGCCGACAATAGAAAATGATGAAAATAGTCAGATTAATGCCAAAATCAACAAAGAAATTATGGTGAAAACAACGTCTGTAATTAGACAGGGGACAATGAAGATGATAATAAATATGAGGAAGACATCGTCGACATTGCAAAAGAAATTTGTCTTGTATGGAAAGTGAATGATTGGGTTTCTATTGTATATGAAAAACAATGGAATATTGGATATACTGTGGAGGTAATATTATTCAAAGCCTATATTAGTTTTCAAGTTTTTGTTGTTTTACAAAACAGTGCTCTAAAGTAAAAGCAATATAAATAAAATGTAAAAATAATTTGAGAAAAACATTATATTAGACTTTATTTTACAAAATGTAAAAAAAATTAATCAAAACATAAATTCTATAATATATTATTTTAAAATGTCGCGCTAATACTTTTAGGTATCTATAACTGGGATCAGAGTTAATTGTATAAATAACGGACAAAAGAAGAATACTTTTCGCTGACCAGTTACTTCCAAGGAAATAAACTACCAAACTGAAAAAATTATCTGTTTAATAGGTGCTCTTTTTCTAATCAATAGTTATGGCGATTATTCATTATCCAAAAAAGACAATAATACAGTCATATCACTATTCTAAGAGAAACTTACTGCAGCAGAGTAAAATATATGTGTGATGTGGTGGATAATTTGTTTTATGTGTGTTTATTGTGTATTGTGAATTTATTTCTGAATGAACAACTAATTTTTAAATGGAAAGGTCAAAACTTGCATGATTTAATTTATGGACAACCCCTTATAAGAAAATGTCTAACTAATTTATATTCAAAATTATGTAAATTTTTAAGTTTTTTTAAAGTTTCCAGTTTTACTTTTCAAGCTTTTACAACTTGAGTTTGCATAAGGGAAAATAGTATATACTATGTACATTTAATATCTGTAGAACTATAGAATTGTTTTGTTTTGCATTATTTAAATAAAGTTAAAAAAAAAAGCAAGCAGAGGATTTGAACCTCTCATGCACTGACCTTAACTACTTTATAAGCATAAAATCTTAAAAAGTATGTTTTTAATTAAAACATAAAATCCTAATTTTATATTTAAAATATAACATTTTATTAAATTTTTTTTTTGTAAATGAAAGGAAGTTTTAATTATTTAATATCGAGGTAATAAGAAAATTTTGAGGTTTTCTGAACCAATTGGGCAACAATGACAGAATTAAAAAAACCACCAAAATAGATTATTGAGACGGCTTAATCTAAAATTCCACGAGGCAGTATCGATGTACACAAGGTTAGGTTATCTTGAATTTCTCTTCTTAAACCTTTATAAATCTCTTGTCATTATCATAAATAATTTAATTATAGAATATAATTATTGTTACTATATAATACATTGGTTTATAAATAGTATGCATCTTTTGTTCCTTTTAAATTTGTTTTTAGAATTACAAAAGTTTATGTTTTTAAGATGTTAGCTAATGAAACATGTCCTATTTTATAGATTATATATTGAAATTGTATCTTAACAGGCTGTTTTAGGTAAAAGAAGCTAGTGATTAATTTATTTTATATATAAATGTTTTTTTATTTTTTTGTTGGTTTTATACAACTATATGTTAGATGTTGGATTATGTTTTATATGAGGCTAATTATTAAATAGTTTATTTAGTACAGCGTTATTGTCTGGTGATGTTTAAAGGGTTATTTTGTAAAGTTTATATTACTTTTGCAAACATTTTATAAACTTAACATATGCTTTTTCTTTTGTTTCTATTTCAACATTTTTTTGTTCAAAATGGTTAAAATCAAATATCAATATTTTTATTAGTGCCACAGCTTATTACAAGTCGGATATTTTAATTTATAATTTATCTTTATTTTTAGTTTAATAGCTTGTATATTAATGTTATGAAGTTATAGTTACTTATGGGGTGTTTAAAATAAAATTTGGTTTGATTAGTTACTAAGTTGTTGCTAAGTAGCAGTTTATTTTTTTCTACTTACTTTTATGTTTAACTAGAAAGTAGCAGTTTATTTTTTTCAATTTACTTTTATGTTTAACTTTATTTTTTTCTATTTGCCTTTTATGTTTAACTAGAACGATTATGTATTACAAACATGTCCACTTATTATTGTTGTTATTTTATTTCTTTATTTAGTTTACTTTGTTTATTGTTAAAATATGGTTTTAATTTATAGTATGGTTGATTTATTTGAATATACCCCCAGACTTGGATGAAAACCATATAAAGTTGGGCTTCTGAGCATAGGTTAGTTAAGATGTCAGCAATGACCAAAATTAAAGCCCCTCGTTATTTGAAAAAAAAAGTTAAATGGCATTTTTGGCCTATTTTTTAAATACAAATTTGAGCAAAATGACTAATTTTTTTAAATCACCAAAAATTATTAGCTATAAGGCATGCTATCGAAAAAATCTGCCTACCTTTTGCGGTGTGGTAAAGCTAGTTAACGGTCGTTTCTTGAAATTATTTTTTTGTGTGTGGTAGTGTTTGTATAATAGAACATTTTGGCAGAAAAAAAATAATTAAAAAAAAATTTAGTTTCAAAATGTCAACTGAGCAAACTAAACAAAGATTTTTGATTGTGGACAAACACTTAAAAAATACAATTTTATCGAATAGAAAGTTGGCGAAATCATTAAAAAAATATCAAGAAGAACTGTAGATAATGTTCTTAAACGGTTTACAGAACAGAAAACTATTCAGAGAAAACAAGGAAGTGGTCGAAAAAAACGCACAGCAAATCCTAGAGCTCTCGAACGGTTGGAGACTTCATTGGAAGAACATCCTGATTGATCTGATAGATTTCGAGCGAAAAAACTGAAAGTTTCCAATTTTTTTGTACACAAATGGCGACAGAGATTTGGATATCAAAGTTTTTTAAAGTAGTTAAAATGCCAAATCGCAACAATAAACAAAATTCAACCGCAAAGAGTTGAGCTCGAAAGTTGTATGACAACTTGTTAACAAAACATAATGGATGCATTTTGATGGATGACAAAACTTATGCTAAAATGGATTTTAAACAAACTCCTGGGCAGTGCTACTATGCTTCTAAAATAAGAAGAAATGTGAGTGATAAATACAAGTATGTAATGACTGATAAATTTTCAAAAAAATTAATGATTTGGCAGGCACTTTGCTCTTGCAGCAAAAAAATCGCCAATTCATGTTTGTTTGGGCACAATGAAATCTTCGGAATACGTGAAATGTTGTCTTTCTCGTATAAAAGGACTAATTAAAGCTCATAGAAGTACTTCAGTATTGTTTTGCCATGATTTAGCCACAATACATTACTCAAAAGATGCTCAAAAGTTTTATGATGATAATGGAGTGATGTTGGTTCCGAAAAAGATGAATCCTCCAAACTGCCCCGAATTATGTCCTATTGAAAAATATTGGGCCATCATAAAAAAGAAATTGAAATTAAGTAGAAAAACAGTAAAATCAGCTATAGATTTAAAGAAAAAATGGGATTACGCTGCTAAAACTTACAAAAATCACTCTGTCCAGAAACTCAGAATTTTCTGTAAAACTTAATTTGTTTTTGTTTTTTCCGTATTAATATGTAATCTTTACAGTCTTAATTTTTCAGAAATATATTGATTTAAATACATTTAAGCTTTCTTACATCCTTTTTTGATCAAGAAAGGTGGGCAGATTTTTCCGATAGCATACCTTATATCATTTGAAAGATAAAAAAACTCAGAGTGAAATGTTTGCTTACGCAAAGTCTAAAAAATGTTCATGAGTTATAGCTGCTCAATGTGGGAATTTTGGCATCATTAAAAATTTTTTTTTTTTTGAAATAATATTTTATTAAAAAATACCATTAGAAATACAATTTAATGCTCAGTAAAATGTTGTCTCAGGTTACTTTTCAAAAAATTGTTTGTAAGGCATCTTTATCACTGAAATAAAGAGTTGTATGATGTTTTCTTCAGTAACAGGGTAAGAAATGTTAGCATTAAAAAAAGCCGATTAGAAGTTGCGGATGTCAAGGTTCATTTGCTTTTTGTTCATGCATGGAATGGGTTTGACTCCACTTCAGCAATATTTGGCAAAGGAAAAGCA